TGTGTCCGCAGAAGAAGCTGAATCCTCTTGGAGGTTCACAGCCAAGACCCTCTTCTGCCGCTGGAACTTTGCTTTGTTGTGCGCCTGCCGCTTCTCTCGCCTGCGGAGAGCCACCAGCAGTGGGTCTCGACGGCTGAACTGCACAGTGTCGGCAAAGTCCTTCTGCTTGGCCAGACGGCGTTGCAAAAGGGTCACATTGAGCGGGGTCCTCTCGGGCTTTTGCGCCCTGTAAGATCTGCGCCACTCATCGGTGCACTTCTGCACCACGTAGGTTGCCTTTCCCACCAGAATACTTGGCTTCGCGAGCCCGGGCCTATCAGAGAAGACATAGTTGTGGATTCTGACATGTCCACGAGGGGCACGCTCGAGAACAATGCAATAAGTATACTCGATCTGCAGGTCGATGCCAGAGGTATCCAACTTCTTGCAGTCTCGCTTGGGCTCGGGCTCGAAAACTTTGATTAAGTAGTTCGGCCCACGCGGCGGGGGATCTTGACACATGGTCTCTGCAGCCCCTGACTCCAATGCCTTGCGCATGCCTTCCAGGGAGTCGATTGTGTGGCTTCGCGCATAGTCTGCGACCCACCTGCGCTGCAGACCAAAGGCTCCGTCACACCGCCCTTTGCCATGGTGTTCTGCAAAGAAATGCAGATGCACCTGCGCAAAAGTATCCCTGCAGTGCTCAGCTAAGTTCCATAGAAACTCGTAGCTTCGGAAGTGCGCCCCACAGTCTGCCCAGCAATGCAGCACCTTCACTGTGTCCAGCGACAATGTCTTGAGCAAATCATTCCTGATTTGCCCAGAGCGTGCGTTGGGCCCCATTAACAGTTAACAGAAAATTTGTGGTTCTTACGAAGTTCTGAGCGCCAAAAGAAACCATTGCTGCAAAAGCCAGGGCGCAGGCACTGGCATGCGTACGCGGAGTCGTGGTTCAGAACTTGAGAAATGTAATGATAATTCTCTTTGCACAGCACACCGCCCCTCCACACACAGACGTAGAAGCCCAATGTTGTCATGGATTCGCGGGAGGTTGCCCAGAACCAATCTTGGGCCTCCTCTGGACCAAGAGGCCATGTCATGTTCTCCATAAAGTCTAGTTGGATCAGAACACTGTCCTTGGGGAGATTGTGCTCCATATGCTCCCGCTGAGCGTGCTGCCGACGAACACTCTGGAAATGGTGGCTGCAACTCTCAAGGACCTCTACATACTTGGAGATGTTGCTGACAGCACTGGCTTCTGCCTCCTTCAACCGCTGCCTGAGCTCCAGTGTTCCTCGCGCACTAGGCTGTCTCATCCGCTCATTTGCATTTCTGTCCAAGAACAACTTCAGAAACTTGACAAACTGCAGGGACAGTTGGTCATCAGCATCTGTGCGGCCTTGTCTTTTCATAGCCTCCCAGTGCGAGTCGAGGCTCTCAAAATAATTGGCTTGCGCACTCTCAACCTGACTTCGGGCAAGGTCTAAGTCTTTCCGCAAAGCAGGGAGCACGACTTTGTCAAACTTGTGACAAAAGGTACACACGTCAGTGCGGCATTTCAGCCGAACAAAGTTGGCATGCTTTGCCTTGAGGTGCTTGTACCAAATGGGTCTGCTCATGAGGGCCTGCATGGAATCGCTGCGAGCCCACAGCCTTCCGCGGGAAGCTTTGAGATTGTACACGGGCACCACTTGTCCGTCGAACTTCATCAGCTTGCTTGTAACTGCTGAGTTCTCCAGCAGATAGACCCGCACTTTGTCCGAAATATCTGGCGCGTGAACTTTGCTCTTACGCCCAGGCTTCTTCTTGCCAACGCCTAGCCTCACTCGTCCCCAGAGCCTGTACCCTGGCACTTTGATATGTCGCGCAGCCTTACGGCGACCTCCAAAGGCCGCTTGGGCTGCTTTGGCCACCGCCTCTTGCAGTCCGCTGCGCGCGCCGCTACTTTCAGAAATTTCTGTCGCAAAAGCGGAAAGCGCGGTCTCTTGAGGCTCCTGCTGCAGAACCGCCAGCTCTTCTTTGGACAGGCTGCGCCTAACACATTGGACCACACCGTCAGCACCCAGTCTGCCTCGGATTTCCAGCACCAAGGCATGCAGCTTGTTTCTGCAGTGCGTCTCGATGTTCTTTGTAGAACTCAGCTTCTCTGCCATGTCTCGCTGCTGGCGACTGGCGGGGCAAGCGTCCGTGGCTAATTCCACGTTTACCGCTCTCGTGAAAGCTGCAGCAGGCGCATGGTTCAGTCACAAACGTTGGGCCACGTGGGCAATCGGCTCAGTTTGGACGCTTGAAGGTATGATTCGGGGTATGATTCGGGTATGATTCGGGGGTATGATTCGCCCCGGAGATTTTTTTGATTTCCCTGGGCTGAAATCATCCTCAGCTCAAGAACTGCAACTTTCCTGCGCATAAGGACAGGTGGGACAGTAATGGTGAAGAGCGCGTCTCCAACATGCCCGCGCACACTTTGGCAGCTCAAAGGCGAAACGTGCTTTGACAGCCCCAGCTCGAAAATAGCAACCTTCCAGCACAAAGCGATTTGACAGCCCCAGCTCAAAAATTGCAACGTTCCAGCACAAAGTGCGCTTTGACAGCCCCAGCTCAAAAATTGCAGCCTTCCAGCACAAAGTGCGCTGTGGCAGCTCCAGCTCGAACATAGCAACCTCCAAGCGCAAAGTGCAATTTGGCAGCTCCAGCTCGAAAATAGCAACTTCCAGCACAAAGTGCGCTTTGGCAGCTCCAGCTCAGAAGCTCAAAGGTAAAGCGCAAAGTGGCAGCCCCTTCTCAAACATCAGAATTCCATCTGGTCGTTGTTTTCAGTGCGAACATTCTCCCAAGTACATGTCAAAGCCCTTTTGCTAGAAAACGCGGCCTGGAGAGAGTACACCTGCCGCCCTTGTTGCAAAAAGAAGACATCTCAGTGTAAGTCTAACCCGGCCGGAAGTTTGCTCCAAAGTCAGCATTCCATTTGCAACCTCCCACGGCCACGCTGAGACCAAAGTTGTTCGCCGACTCGCTCTCTCCAAACAGCAAACTCCAAACCAAGGGAACACATGATCGACCCCGCTCATACCTTTTGTTTGAGCCGCTTCCGGAGTTGCAACTCTTCGGTCCAAACCTTGTGTTTTGACGAGCGTTTAAACCAGAAGGTCACAAGCCCTAAGCGCAAACCCAAAAGTGAAGGTACGAGTTCAGTTGGCCTGGCTCGAGCGCGCAAAGCAATGGTGGGGTTGATGTTTTCTCGCACCCCATGCATGCCCGGTACTGCTGCGCAGTACTTCCGTACACCCGTCATCAAACTGATGAGCCCAAATCTTCCTCCCGCAAACGAGTGGATTCGCACTCGATATGCTCAAGCTGGAGCTGGGTAAAATTCTGCCCCATCATGCAACCTTGAAAGTATTTCCTTGCAAAGCGCTGGGTCACAATCTGACACCAATGACACTTGGCACCGTGAGACTTTTTCTCACTGCCAGACGGCCTTTTCTGTAACTTGCAGACTCTACAGCGATGCCAGGCTTCGTGCAGCTGGCGCTGCGGATTGCCGGAGTTGGCCTTGCCCTTGTCCTTGTCAAGCTTCAGCTTCTTGCAAGGAGAACCCCAGACCTTGTACTCTAAGGTGTTCTTGGAACCAGGGCTGGCAGCCTGAGCCCGCACCAATGTGGGGGAAGCAGGCTTGCCAACTTTCACGGGTGTCAGGGAAGTAGGGCTGGCAGCCTCAGCTTGCACCGGTGTAGTGGCCTCCGCGCGCACGACTCCTTGCTTTGCTGGCGCCTCTGCGTCCACAGGAGTGTGCTTCACAGTCGGGGAAAGCGCAGCGTCAGCAATGGGCGCAGGACAGTCCTGTGCTGGGCTGTGGCAACCGGGGGCCGGTTGTCAGGGCACATGGGAACACAAAGAGTTGGAAGGTAGCCTGGCTATTCAAGATTTTGCTCGCAAACGGACCGCAGCTAATTTTGACAATCTCAGAGGCACACTTGGGCACCAGGCCTCTGTGGCCAGGCTGGCTTCGATGGCTGGTTCGACAGAAGCAGCTGCGCTCTGTGTCGCCTTGCAAGAAGGATTTTATGAAAAGGCTCAGCTTTCCTGAAATTGGTGGTTTGATTGTGTGGCTTGGAGGCTAGGAAGAAGTTTCCCATCCCTCCTCACAAAAATCAACTACCCACAAATCCACAAAGAAAGGGCAAAGCGGTTGGGCCCCGTGCCTCCACGACAGTCTCCGCAGCTGGCTTGCCCTTGTTGCCAAGCACGGGTGTTGCCGGCTCGCCAGCAGCCGCAAACAGATCCTCAAGCTGCAAGCCCAAGCCCGCACTCAGATCCGGCGGTTTTTGTTGAGCATCCGCTGGCTTCTCTGCCTCTTCCTCGCAAGGTGGTGTTACTAAAAGCTGTGATGGAAAGGCATTGCAAATGGGGGGGTCGCGTTTTTTGAGTGTGCAATTGTCAGGGTGGTTCGTTTAGAAACGAAATGCAAAACCACAAATTTGGGCCCCTCTCTCTCTCTCTCTCTCTCCCTCCCTCTCTCTCTCTCTCTCTCTCTCTCTCTCTCTCTCCCTCTCTCTCTCTCTCTCTCTCTCTCTCTCTCTCTCACAGGAACCTGCAAAAGTAGGGGTTCCCACCCAGGTGACCAGCAGGGAACTCCAGAAAAAAAAGGCACTCCAGCATTGCTTTGGCAAGGAAAAGGGGTGTGTTGATGTGTCGAATTTTACCCGAATGTGAGTGGATATTCCGCCAAATCTCTGGTCTGCTGGCTGAACCTGATGTGAAAAACAAGGCGCCCTGCACCTCCAAACAATGAGACTACTGTCCTGGATCTTGTCTCTGCAAAGCTTTTTGAGCTCTGCAAGGCCGCTCTGCTCATGGCCCTTGCACCGATTCAGCAGCTCCTCTGCCGCAGCTCTCGAAGAGCGGGAGGCTATCCTCTGAACTTTCTTGTCCAGCGAAAGCACATGCACCACATTCACACCATTGGAGCGGAGGCGGTTTTCCTCCCACAAAAACAGTGACATCCTGGGCCAAAACCTGCAGAAACTTAGTTCAAAGCACGGTGCCAACAAGTATTGCCACAACCTGTTTTGGGGGGTATGATTCGGGGGTATGATTCGGAGTATGATTCGGGGGTATGATTCGGGGGTATGATTCGCCAAGGTCCCACCTTCTGCCTTTTGAAGCAACTCAACACGACAAAAAAAGACAAACCCATATGTGTGCGTGTGTGTGAGTGTGTGCGCGTGTGTGCGCGTGTGTGCGTGTGTGCGCGTGTGTGCGCGTGTGTGCGCGTGTGTGCGCGTGCGCGCGTGTGCGCGTGTGCGCGTCTGCGCGTGTGCGCGCGTGTGCGGGTGTGCGCGTGTGCGCGTGCGTGTGTGCGTGTGTGCGTTTTTTTATAGTGTGCGGGTGTGCGGGATTTTCTTTGTGCGGTGCGCGGGTTTGTTTGTGCGGGTTTTATGTGCGCGGTCTTGTTCGTTGTAGGTGTGCGCGTTCGTGGCAGTTTTTTATTACTTTATTTTTTTTATTTTTTTACGTTGCGCGTTTTGTTGCGCGTGTGCGCGTGTGCGCGTTGGTTTTTTTTTGTTGGTGCGCGTGGGCGCGTTGTGTGGGTGCGGTGGAGCGTTGTGCGCGTGTGCGCGGAGTTTGTTGTTTTGGTTGGTTGTTTTTGATCGTGTTTGCGGTCTGTGCGCGGTTGTGCGGTTGTGCGCTGTGTGTGCGCGTAGCGCGCGTATGTGCGCGTGCTGCGCTTATGTGCGCGCGTGTGCAGCGTTGTCGTGCGCGTGTTGGCCGTTTTATGTGCGCGTGTAGTGGCCGTGTGCGTGTGAGTGAGTGAGTGAGTGAGTGAGTGAGTGAGTGAGTGAGTGAGTGAGTGAGTGAGTGAGTGAGTGAGTGAGTGAGTGAGTGAGTGAGTGAGTGAGTGAGTGAGTGAGTGAGTGAGTGAGTGAGCGAGCGTGCGTGCGTGCGTGCGTGCGTGCGTGCGTGCGTGTGTGCGTCTGTGCGTCTGTGCGTGTGTGCGTCTGTGCGTCTGTGCGTGTGTGCGTCTGTGCGTCTGTGCGTCTGTTGTGTCAGGCAGAGTCATTTAGCCAGCAGGCTCCTGCCTGTCCAAGCTGTACACTGGGACAAGATTCACGACCCGACAGGGAAGCTGCCCATCCAGCAACTGCCCAGTCTAAGCATACACTTGCCCTCTCATCGGGCCTTTTTTGAGAAGAAAGGCCTTTGATGAGGGCCGCGCAGGTTGAAAGACGCTGCGGAAATAAGATGCTGGCCCCCAAATCTCAGCGATCGGTAGCAAGAATCCCATGGGCTCCCAGCATCCCCAGGCCGACCTCTAGTGGCCAGCAGTCCAAATCCTCTTTCGCCAGGCAAGCTGCAAGCACAGAGCAATGGAAACCAAAGGGCATGACGAATGACGGTGCGTCTTCGAGACCAGTGCTTTGTGGTACCTGGCAGAGGTCACCTGTCTTAACAAAAAATATGGCGCGCCTGCTTCTATGGATCACTGCCCTTTGGCTCACACCTTTATGAATCTTGGCGGCCTGTCTTCATCCTTTCAGCCTGCTTGACGGTGGGTGAGCCGCTGCCGCTGCCACGCTGAGCCACTGCGCCAAACTTGCCTTCAAAGCTCTTGGCAAGAGAGGGAGGGGGGGAAAAGCAAATTTGAGCTCCAGGGAACAAGCATGCGGAGCAAAACGGGCGCCTTCTTTGGCAGTCTGAGTCTCTTGGAGGATCGTCGGCGGACCCCAAGCCCGATATGGGTACGGGCCTGAGGACCGACACACTGCAATGTCTGTTGATTTGTACTTTGCATTGGCACAGCCTGCAAGGCAGTTGCGTCATCGGCGCAACGCCCAAGCTTTGACAGCCCCAGCTTCAGCTTAGGACTTCAAGGCAGGTCAAAGCTCTATCTCAGGTTTCGCGGTGAGGACGAAACTGCTTCTAGCCATCCCAAACCCTGGCTAATCAGCGTAGACCCCCTGCAAACAGGCAGCTTTAGCACTCTCACCCTACTTCTCTCTCAGCCATGCCAAGCGCACGTTAAATGCTTAAGTTCTCTGGTTCGTGTGACTTAAGTACTACGGTGCTTCATTTTGCTGTGACTGTGAGATGACCCAAATGCCACGAACCAGGAAGATGTGCAAAAGGGGCCTCATCTTGCCAATGTGCAGCTGAATTCCTGTGCCCCACTTGCCGGCGCACGTTGGTTGTCTCGTGGCTCAGCAAGGCGCCAGGCACAAGGCGGATGCGTGCATCCACGCGAGCGAGGATTGTAAAATTCACGGGAGCCAAATGCCCAAACACCTGTCGCTGCTGGCAAGCTGGCAGGGCAAAGGTATGAAGACGTCTCGTTGTATCTAGTTAGACAGCTGTCATGTACTGCAAGGAAACATCTAGCGAGCATTGACTGCGTGTGGCAACATGACAAAGCGGAGACAACAGCAGCCAGACAAGAGCAACTGTCTTGCACAGTCGGGCAAAAAGGATATGATATGGCGAAAGTTGCTTAGCATTGACATGGCACAAGGCAGAAGGAATGTCTCACTCATGCCGCACTGCTCGTGGCATGTCACATTGTCAGTTACTGCCTACACTTGAGGCATGATGCTCTCCATTAATTACAATGCCTGCGCTGCCAACTGCCACTCTGAAGCTCGATGATTCCAACTCGCATCTTAGGCCAGGTGTTTGGCTGAAGGCAACCAACAAGTTCACTGGCTGCTCGTTGCAGCTATAGCCCTTTCCAGCACCTCCAGCGCCGAAAAGCCAGGAGTAGTCCTTTGGTGCGATTTCCCGCCTGCCACGCAAGTTGCAACGCGAGGGGCGGGAAGTGTGGGAAAGACCACACCAAAAACGTTCTCTTCAACCTTCACAATCCCAAGGCCGCAGTACGGAGTTTGCCAAATGGCATTTCCACGTTATCTCTGTTAACAACCTCGCAACAATCCCGAAAGGACTTTTAGGCGGTATTCAGCTGGTTGCTGCGCTGGCTGGCGCTGATCAAACTCTCATAAGCCTTTCCACCTCCCAACCCCAGAATCAAAGCACCCCAACTTTGCCCATGCGGAATCTTCAGGTCCAAACCGGCATTCCAAGACGAGTGGGCGACCAATTTCCGGCCTCACAAGCTGAAAGCCAAGGTCGGCTCGCCCAGATCCTGCGCACACCACGCTTCTCAAGACGGGCGCCCAATCAGTGCCAGAAATGTCTGAAGCCCAGCGCAGCAGCAGGTTTGCAAAACCGGCTTTGTTCCCACATCATCATTCTGCGGGCTTCTTACTTTGACTTCGTCGTCCGCTCTGTCGCCGCGGCTTCGCTCTCTCTCTCTCTCTCTCTCTCTCTCTCTCTCTCACTCACTCACTCACTCATTCACTCACGCACCCGCTCACCCACGCACTCGCGCACTCACGCGCTCGCGCACTTGCGCCCTCCCGCGCTCCCGGCACTCACGCACAAACGCACGCCCGCACTCACGCGCAAAATCTCTCACGAACTCACGCACTCACCCACTCACGCCCTCACACCCGCACGCAGTCACGCAGTCACACACTCACGCGCTCGCGAACTCACGCACTCTCACACACTCACTCACTCACTCACTCAACTCAACTCCACTCAACTCAACTCAACTCGGCTCAACTCAACTCAACTCAACTCAACTCAACTCAACTCACTCACGCACGCACTCACTCACCCACTCTCCCTGGCTCACCTCGGCTCAGCCTCGTTGGGCTAATCATGAAAGATACGCACGTGGGGTGGTCCATTCCTTCCCTCGTCGTCGTTGTTGTTGCTGTTCTGTTTCCTGTTGCTGTTGCTGTTGCTGTTGCTGTTGCTGTTGCAGTTGCAGTTGCAGTTGCTGTTGCTGTTGCTGTTGCTGCTGCTGCTGTTGCTGTTGCTGTTGCTGTTGCTGTTGCTGTTGCTGTTGCTGTTGGTGGTTGTTGTTGTTGTTGTTGCTGCTGTTGTTGTTGTTGTTGCTGTTGCTGTTGCTGTTGCTGTTGCGGTTGTTGTTGTTGCTGTTGCTGTTGCTGTTGCTGTTGCCATTGCTGTTGCTGCTGCTGCTGCTGCTACTGCTGCTGCTGCTGCTGTTGCTGTTGTTGTTGTTGTCGTTGTCGTCGTTGTTGTCGTTGTTGTCGTTGCTGTCGTTTTTGTCGTTGTTGTCGTTGTTATTGTTGTCGTCGTCGTTGTTGTTGCTGTTGCTGTCACTGTTGTTGTTTCTGTTGTTGTTGTTGTTGTTGCTGGTAGTGGTGGTGGTTGTGGTTGTGGTTGCGGTTGCGGTTGTGGTTGCGGTTGCGGTTGCGGTTGTGGTTGTGGTTGTGGTTGTGTTGGTGTTGCTGTTGTTGTTCCCAATGGTATTCAATGGTGCCCTTCGCCGCCGTGGAAGGCTCGCCGATTTCAATGACTGCTTCATGTCAGAGCTGTATCCACCATGACTATTGTTAAGCACACACGTCCACGCGCACTCATGTCAGAGCTGTATCCACCATGACTATTGTTAAGCACACGTCCACGCGCACTTATGTCAGAGCCGTCATCACCATGACCACTGTTCAGCACACATGTCCACGCGCACTCATGTCAGAACTGTATCCACCATGACTGTTGCTAAGCACAGACGTCCACGCGCACTCATGTCAGAGCTGTATCCACCATGACCATTGTTACGTGCGTGGCAATGCTGCGATTAGGATGAACTCGTATAGTTGGGTTTGGAGACACGACAACGTTTGTCTCGGTAATTCGCTCGGGAAGCGTTTCGTGAAGTCGCTGCGGAACTGCTGACAAAAAGATGAGCGCTCAAGATTGAAAAAGCGTGATGATCATTTGGGTGTATCTTTTTTGCAAGCGCTTGTGGTTCAGTGTTGGGCTTTACTAGTCCCTCAGTGTTTGGTGTTGCTGTTGTTGTTGCTGTTCTTGTAGTTGTTCCTTGTTCCTTGTTCCTTGTTCCTTGTTCCTGGTGGTGGTGGTGGTGGTGGTGGTGGTGGTGGTGGTTGGGGTGAAATCGTATCATGTGTGCACTTGTTCCCCAAACAGTGTG